TGTTTCTCAGAAGAACGAGCAAAATTTTATGCTGCTGAAATTGCCACTGTATTGATTCATATTCATTCATTAGGAATTATCTATAGAGATTTAAAGCCAGAAAATATATTACTAGACAATACAGGAAATATTGTTATCACTGATTTTGGATTAAGTAAACAATTAGCTGCTGGGGAAGAAACACAAACATTTTGTGGAACACCTGATTATTTAGCTCCAGAAATTTTAAAAGGTGTTGGTCATGGACCAGGAGTTGATTGGTGGAGTTTAGGAATTTTAATTTATGAAATGATTGTTGGTATTCCACCATTTTATGATGATGACGTATCATTAATGTATCAAAAAATATTAAAGTCACAACCTCATTTCCCTCGTAATATCTCTTATGATGCAAAATCTGTTATTATGGGTTTATTAGAAAAAGACCCAGCAGAACGTCTTGGAGGAGAAGATGTTATTCACATGGCTTGGTTTGATAATATTGATTTTGAAAAATTAAAAAGAAAAGAATTAACTCCACCATGGATTCCTCCAGTAAAAAGTCAAACTGAAACGAGTCAAATTGATGATGAATTTGTTCAAGAGGCTGCTGTTGATACTCCACCTTCTGAAGAACAAGAACAAAATAAAGATAATACATTTGAAGGTTTTACATTTGTACAAACCAATGCTATGGATGAACAACAATAAATAATACATTTGTTTGGGTAATTAAATGTTTAACTTAACTTATTTTTGATTATTTAAATTAAATAATACTTTTTCTGAATTTAAAAAATCTTCGTTTAAAATAAGAATATAAATATTTAATAAATTGAATTAGTTTTATATTAGCTTTTATAAAAGAAAACGAAATAATTGAGTTATTGGATAGAAGTTCTAGTGTGACAACCAAAAATATTCAAAGCGTTCAACAATTTTTCACGTTAAACTAATACACTTAATTAGTAATATGGTATCAAACTAATATTCTTAAAAATATGTTAGGTCCAAATAATAAAGAAAAGAAATAATTTAATTTAGATGTCGTACTAATAAACTTTAAGTTAAATAAAGTTTTAGTTCATTGTTTTAGAATTTACATTAAATTCTTAATTAATTGAATGATTTTATAAATAAAAATATTATGGTTTAGTTGAAAATTAAATGAGGTAAAGTAATACAATAAAACAATTATTATGAAAAAGATTATTATAATTATTTAACAATTAAAAACTTGGATATTATTAAA